TTTTCACTCTGTACATTCATGTTTTGAATGCATGAGCAGCTCCTGAGTGCAGAGACAGTCAGGAGGGCAAATCCAGCTGTTCCCTCCAGAGGTGAGGGTGGAACTGGAGCTCCCGTGGCTGTGAGGTTCTCCTTCATTCCTGATGTTTCTGTGCAGTGCTGTGACCTGAGCATCAGCCCTGGTGAGCTGAGGAGCCCTGCAGGATGTCCCAGCCCCAGGATGTGCTCTCCTTCTCTTCCTCCAGCACATCTCCAGGAATGGTTTGATTTCCTCATCCCTGCAGGATGTCCCAGCCCCAGGATGTGCTCTCCTTCTCTTCCTCCAGCACATCTCCAGGAATGATTTGATTTCCTCATCCCTGCAGCCTGTCCCAGCCCCAGGATGTGCTCTCCTTCTCCTCCTCCAGCACATCTCCAGGAATGATTTCCTCATCCCTGCAGGATGTCCCAGCCTCAGGATGTGTTCTCCCTCTCTTCCTCCTGAACATCTCCAGGAATGATTTGATTTCCTCATCCCTGCAGCCTGTCCCAGCCCCAGGATGTGTTCTCCCTCTCTTCCTCCAGCACATCTCCAGTAATGATTTCCTCATCCCTGCAGGATGTCCCAGCCCCAGGATGTGCTCTCCTTCTCTTCCTCCTGAACATCTCCAGGAATGATTTGCTCTCCCTCTCTTCCTCCAGCACATCTCCAGGAATGGTTTGATTTCCTCATCCCTGCAGCCTGTCCCAGCCTCAGGATGTATCTGCAGGATGTCCCAGCCCCAGGATGTGCTCTCCTTCTTGCTCTCCCTCTCTTCCTCCAGCACATCTCCAGGAATGGTTTGATTTCCTCATCCCTGCAGCCTGTCCCAGCCTCAGGATGTATTCTCCTTCTCTTCCTCCTGCACATCTCCAGGAATGCAGGAATGATTTCTTCATCCCTGCAGCCTGTCCCAGCCCTAGGATGTGCTCTCCCTCTCTTCCTCCTGCACATCTCCAGGAATGATTTCCTCATCCCCACAAACAGGGATGCAGCCAGACAAATGCACAAAACACAGGAATTTGTGACACGCTTTGGGACCTGCCCAGAGGGGTTTTCTGGAAGGAATAGAGCAAAATCAGAGCTGGAAAATGTCCCTCTTGCATTTCACTCCCGTCACTTCCACCCCCATCAAACCCAAAGGCTCAGTCAATATTAATGGATTTTCCTCCATGTCTGTGGAGCTGCAGAACACCCCAGGCAAACAGGACAGACTAAAACCTCAGTCTGGAAGATGAGCATCAACAACAGCCAAGATGCCAAGGTGGAGCTGGGCTTAGGACCTGGTTTACACCAGTTCTTCTGTCCAGACACCCAAAGCTGAGGAGCACAGACCAGCCCCAAGCTGAGGTTCTGTGGCCTGAGGGACTGTGCTGGGACAAACCTGGCTGACCTTTGGCAGGAGGGATGAGAAAGGAAGGGAACAGAGCTCCTCTGCCCTGTGGCTCATGCTGAGTTGCACCAGCAGCTACAATCTGGGGGGAAGATGAGGCTGGGAGCGCTCCAGGCTTCCCTCAGACTTACAAACCTTTCTAACACTCGATTTGTAGCTAAATGTTCAATGCCTCTCACTTTTGCAGCAAATACATCACCTGCAGGCTGAGCCTGGCAGGTGTTGCCCTCCTAAGGCAAGCTGGAATTGTCAGCGTAGCTTAAACTGGGATTTTGTTCTGGGTGCAGCCTCTGGGCTCCTTGAAGAGTCTGGCAGAGGGGAAAATATGAGCTCCAAGTGGCTGATGGAACACCCAACACGTGCTTCTAAAGCTCTGTTCTTCACTAAATTCCCTTGCAGGTCACATATAACATCCAGAGTTTTCCCTCCAGTTGTTAATGGTATTTAAACCTGAGCTGATGCTCTAAATAAAGCTGGTTTTCTTTCTCTGGAACTTGCATCAAGGAGAGAATTTGGTTTGTTTCTCCGTGCCTTCTGAGGGTTTTTTGTGTCTTATCCCTCATTTAAGGGGAACAAAACAAAGTGGAGAAGCAACAGATTTCCCTGCAGGGAATTCTCCTGCCCCAGCTTGGATGTGTCCCCCTGCCATGTGCCTCCACCCATCCTCCCTAGCACCTCTCACCCCGAGTTCAGCTGTGCTCTGAGCCAGTTACTTCAATAGAGAAAAAAAAATAAGCAGTATTTTCCTTTTCTTTCTTTTTTCCTCTGTGATTCTTTCCCAGGCATGCTTGGCATCGTGTCTGCAGGCAAAAGAAATGCAGATCTCTCCCTCTGCAGCTTCCCTGAAGTGAACTCGATTGTCCACTGCGTTTTAGACATGCTTAAAAGTTCCATTTCCACACACTGCACATTTTTATTATGTTTTATTAATAAAGGTGTTGTAGGGTTGGATGTGAGAGAATATATAAGTTTATTTTAGTACATTTCCTTCAAAATGGAGTTTAAACACCTTAGGCTCCTTTGTTTGTTGGTTTTAGATATTTAGATAATATTAGATTTATTATTATCTATAATATATATAAATATTACATAATATTTCTGACTCATCAAGGCTTTTATATAAAGAAATAGTTAAAATGAATATACAAAATTTATGTTCTTCTTAGCATAAAAATTATCACTGGGGTTTTTTTTTATATCTTTCTAATGTTGTCCTGGGTGCAATTTTTTCTTTTTATTGCAAGATTTGGGCTTGTTTTAGATATTTTTTCTAGAATCATCAAGGTTTTTATATAAATAAATAGTCAAAATGAATATACAGAGTGCTAGTTCTTCTTAACATAAGAATTATCACTGGGGCTTTTCCCATGTCTTTCCAATATTGTCCTGGGTGCAGTTTCTTCTGCTTTGCAAAAAGCTGCTGGGCTTTTTTTATTGTATTGTATTATATTAAATTTTATATGTTTCTATTTCTATTTATTATATTTATTTCTAATTATTTATAATATTTATTTCTAATTATTTTATTTATTTATCATGTTTATTCTGGCACTCCCTTCTCTGTACCACCATTCCCACAGTTCTTTATTGTTTCTTTTCCTGGGGTTCATTGTCTGTGTCTCCCTGCTTTTGCTGTCATGTTTTGGTTTGCCAAAGCCTGGGAATTTTTGTTGGAATAGAACTTTGCCACAGCTAAAATTTGCCTTTTACTCATTGCATTCTTTATAGCTGCAGAACTCTTTATTGATAGGGAAGGATCAACAGAGTTTTGTTTTTGGAAGAAGTAAATTAATTGGTTGGGTTGGGAGCTAGAAGTTTTCCTGCTTATCTGTTTTAGGGAGTGAAATGCCAGCAGAACCCGAAATGGCGATGCCTGCTCCAAAACCACATGAAATATTTCCTGTATCCTCCGTTCTTGTTTGCTCCTTTCCAATTTTCCAGACTTTTGCATGAAGGGACCCAGGCTACCAGTGGGAAGCATTCCATCTCTTCTTGAAATGCCCTTTCTTTTTTAGATCAAAACAAAACTGTTGCAGGGGAGGGGAGCTGGGAGGGCGGGGTTGGAGCAAAATTGAGGTAAGGCAGCAAAAACTCTGTCTTGGTAGAGCAGGTTGCTGCAGTGCAAGAAAACATTAAAGCACTGAGGGCTTTGGAAGGGAACTTCTTGTCAAAACGTGCATTTGGATGTTATATGCATAAGGTAATTGAAACTTATTTACAGTCAGTTCAGCAGCACTGTGCTTCTCCTCTCCAATTACAGGTGAGTGTTCTCACAGACCAGGTGGAAGCTCAAGGAGAGAAAATCCGGGACTTAGAAATCTGTCTTGAGGGGCATCAGTTGAAGCTGAATGCTACAGAAGAAATGCTCCAACAGGTAAAAATCTGGATTGGAGAGCTTCCTGCACAACCTCCTCCAGCTCTGGGGTGAGCACACATGGTCAGCTCGGCTGCCTGTGTGACAAAAGGATAAAACAGGGAGAAAATTTTTAAAAAAAAAAGCTTCTTTTATTGTTCTCCTCCTGCTTTGCACTTCTCCCCCACCCCACCACTCCAATAAATGTTTCTTTGTTTTCCTGTTGCAGAAAAGTTTTACTGGCTGGTTGCATAATGCCGTACGTGGCAGCATGTGAAATGAAAGTATTGTGTCTTATTTGAACTGTGCTTATTTGGACATGGCTGAGTAACTGGTTAGACAGGTTAAATGGATCTAATACATGTAGCAGTTCTGGAATTAAGAGGCTTTATTTAAATGACTTCTGTTTTCCTATGGCTTTGGAGTTGAACAAGCAGCAATTTGGAATGTATTGCTGTATCAAGTCGTGTTCTATAACCATTTTCGCTTCACTTTGCAGCTTTCCCCTTACTTTGATATGAGAAAAAATTTTTAGTATGTAAGGTCATTTTTTCTTTATTTCAATCAACATTTTCGGGCTGTGCGATTCCATTTTTGCTTTTTGATGTTCTCCATTGAGGGAGCAGAGCAAATGATAAATTAAATACCTTACAGAACTTGCAGGTCTGTTGATGCCAAAGGTCCTTCCCTGTGCAATTTTCTGTTGTTACAGATGCAGATCATCCACTGTTAATGCACATAGATACCAAAAAGAGATTTGAAACTGTAAATAAGCCTCAAAAAATCTATGCCAGAAACTTTTAGGATAGATGCTGCTCTCTATGAGCCTAGCTCTTCTCCCCACACAAATATTTTGTGTTATAAATTTGCTATTTTAGTCCATGTGATATACACAACTTTCTCTGAACTCATCCAAGCTTTAAATTATGATAAGGATCCTTGTGCATATGTATGTAAACAGCAGCAGTTTCTATAAGGTAACATTGCAACCTAAACATTTTAAATGATAATTCTCAGAGGCTCTTAAAGAAAACCTTCCATCTCACACCGTCCAAAATGCTTCCAGCTGGGAAAGGTGGTGTTCTGAGGAGACACCTAAAAATGCAAACAGCGAGTGCCTGTAGTTCTCCAGTGAGATCTGAAGTGAAACTCCAAGAACAGTGATTATTTAAGTGGTGAAAATCTGTTTTCACACTCCAGGAAAGCATTCACAACAGAGTGCAGCATCTTCCTGCTCCAATCTAAAGCTGCCCCGTGACTTCTGCTAAAACTGTTTAGTCTCCCTCTGACTTAAAATTTTTTGCCTAGATAGTCTTCTGAGGAAGCTGTGAATTTAAAGCCTTATTTGCCAGAACACTGAGGCATCTGAAAATAGAATATGATGTTGCATGAACGTTGCCATTTCAGTGAAAATCTTTGCATCTGCTCGTCTGGCACGAACGGCTAACAAAGCTGATCCTGAAGGGATAAAGGTGATAAAGTGAAAAGGCTCTACCAGAGCTAAAGAAGTCAGAGAACCTCCAGATTTGTCTAAAATAAGCCTCAAATCTGAATTTTGGTGATAATTTCAATCTGAATTTGCTGTAGCTGTTGTTTCTCCCAGCAGACAGTGGGATATGGGAAACCCAAGTCAGACCTGTCAGCAGTCAGAGAAATTGAACATTTATTGTCTCAGCAGAGGATCCCATTTAACATCATTCATTCTGAAGGTTCTCTTCTCAATTCATCTTGTTGAAGAGATTATCCTCCATGGGGGATGAGCTGAGATTTGGGCAGAAGAGAATGACCTGCTCAAGGGGTGATTATGACATTCATGTAAGATATGTGGCCAGTGGACTTTCCTGCAGATAATTTGTCAGAGCTAGAGTGAGTGTGTGGCCTCAGGAGCTTAAATAGATGGATCAGTCAGGTTTGGGGGAGAGTTGAGCTCAGATCTCCTCAGCCAGCAGCTGCTGCTGGTGTCCTGCTTTTCAGAATGACTTCTAGAACCCTCTCAGGAGGGGATGTAGTGTAAATTCAGGTTTATTTCATGGCTCTGCTTCCTTATTTACAATATATTGAACTCCACTGATTTCTGTCTTTGTGAACATAAGTCAGCTGCTCCCTCTAAGTGGAAAATGGAACAATAGAGATTAAAAAAAAAAAAAAAAGCCCTGTCTTTTTAATTTCAAGAACTATAAGAAGAGTGATTCATAATTAATTCTGTGCAAAAAAAAAAACTATGCTTCAATTAAAAAAAAAATCATCAGCTTTAAGATAACCTAATGATGGTATCTGGAAGTTCCACAGCAGAAAGGGTATCTAAGTAGTGCAAAGTAGTTTTTGCTGAATCTGTGCTAGCAGAGACTTGTCAGGGTGGGGTTGCTGGCAAAAAATCCTTCTGGCTTATGATTTATGCACAGTTGTTTTGAACCCTGCTGCAAAGCAATCATGGAACCACTTCTGAAACAGCACCTGAAGTAAAAGTTACACAAATAACATAAAGTGGCTGTTTTGGGTGGGCATCCTGGATGGGGAGCAGCAGCAAGAGAGGAGAAAGCCTCATGCTCCTTTCATCCTTCTCCCTCCTCCTGACCTTGTGGTTTCTGCAAACTGATCTGAGACTCAGCAAAGCTGGGAGAAAAAATCAACTTTAGTTTTTTGGTTGTTTTTAGTTTTTTGATGGTGCTCTGGTGATGGCTGAGTCCAGCAGCTCACAGGACAAGTCACGGTGTGCCAGAAGGGCTTTCAGCTCACTGATTATGGAATCCCAGCCAAGGAAAATGGAGCTCAGCAGCATTTGAGGATCCTGAGGGAGAAATGCCCTGGTGTGCACAGCCACAGGGATGCTCAGTGGCACCAAACACCTCATTTCACTTTTGTAAGGACACTTCTGCCACCACAGGTTGTAATGAACAAAAGTCGCTCTCCACCTTGAAGGTGTCTGCGTTTTCTTCCTTCCAAAACACCAAAACAAAGCAGGCCTTTTCACAACTCATGAAAGCCAGTGGCCAAACATTCATTTGGTCCTGAAGCATGATTCAGGTTTGGGCCAAGAAACAAGGTCACTCCTCACAGTGTAACAGAAGATTTTCTGGAATATGGCTGGGAGCAAGACACAGGTTTAATCTTCCAGTGGGGAGTCTGTCCTGCCACTGCTGGCCTGTGTGAGCACCTGCCTTTCCCCTCAGCACATTGTAATGGAGATGTCCAGGAGTAAAATTAAAAAACCTCCTAGAGTTATCCTAGGAAAGCAATTTATGCTGTGACAGTCCATTTCCAGAATAGCAGCTGCTTTAAGCTGTAAAGTTACAGCAAGTTTTAGAGAGCAATGATGTGTGTGTTTGTGTCTTGTTGGAAGTCACTTTGTGGCATTACTAAGAACTTTCCTCCAGCCCATTTTAAGAAATAAATGTATTTTTTGGAGAGGAGAGAGAGCCTTGGGCAGAATCTCCTATCAACATGCTGTAGGATTGGAAAGCAGAAATCATTTTTTGCTCCATGAAGTTGCCTGAACTGTCCCATAGCAGAGAGTACCAGGCATGCCCAACACAGACACATCAGTGCTGTGGAATCCCTGCTGCCAGCTGTGTCCTGGCCAGCTGAAAAGGGAACCTCCTGCACAAGCACCTTCCACCTCCACAGCTCCTTTCCCTGCATTTCTTGGCAATTACCACGAGCAGTTCCAGTTTGTTACCTCTTTGCTATCCCACAGCTGCATTTTATTTATTTAACAGATTGTGATTTCCATTGAAGCTCTCTGGCATGAGGGACAGCAGTTTGCTGTCCTTGCTGTACCTGACCTGAACCACATCCTAGATGTGCTCTGACCGTGTCTTTGTGCCTTCCAAATAATTTCTGACACAACCTAGGGGATTCTGGATGGTTTTGTTGTGTGAATTCAATCGTGTCTTCAAGTGAATTCTCTTGAAAGGTACGAAGGGCTTGGTTTTAGGATTCTCTGTGTCTATCAAAAAACCACACATAAAACCTGAAATGTTTGGTGCAAACAGGAGTGGGTCTCTGTTCTCCTGTCATTTTATGGCCCACTTGTGCCTGGGTGAGAGGGCCAGAGGAAGGTGTGCCAGACAGCAGAGAACCTTTTAAAAAACCTGATGAAAAGAATGCGGGGAGGAGCTGTGTCAGAGTAGGAACTGGATCCAACACAGTGCAGCTTGTACCTGCCCTGGTTTTGCAGTTGTCTCCTGCTCAGAGGAGCCAGAATCCTGTCTTGGTTGCAGGGTATGAATCTGCTGTGTATCTGTTTGCTCCTCAGGAGCTCTGCTGGCTGGCAAAAACCATTCCTTCAACTTTCAGTTGCCTGAGTTATCTGATCTTAGACGAATTTCAGCACTTGTTTATAGCACGGGGGAGCTTCTTGCCAGCAGCTGGCTCGGTGTTTCAGATTTTGAAGTGAGCTCTGGTCGAGCTCTGAGGTTTTCAGAGCTCCCAAGCTGTGCAGATTTATCTCTCCAGGTGAGCCTCCCCCTGCTTTGCTCTCTCACAGTTAACGTGGGCAGGAATCTGCTCCTCAGGGCTGCCCAAGCTGGCAGGGCTGTGGCAAAGCTCTGTCCTTAACCATAAAATGGGCAAATGATGGATTGGAGGGCTGTAATTCCCTGCCTGCTGCTGCCTTGCACCATTTCATGGTGGTTGCACACGTACATCGCTCTCAGCTGTGTTTCCAGCTAAGCAAATATCTTATTTCTGCCACAGCTGACACACAGCCCTTGAGAAGTGCAGCCCTCATTGGGGCTGCTTCTGCTTGCATTTTGCTTCCCAGGTAGGTGGTTTGGTCTGTCTGTGTCTCTCAAGGCTTTTAATAAGGGGTGAAAAGTAAGGAATTTTTCAAATGTTGTATTTTGTACAAGTGCAAAATGGGATCTTTGGGTTTGTTGGGGGTTTTTTTCTCCCCCTCCTCACTTGACTAAAATCTCACTTATGGTTTCTCAATCAGTGCATGGCATGATTGTTTCTGTTTTGTGGAGAGTTAAATATCCTGGAATTTTCTGTGCTCACAGCTGAGAGCCCAAAATATTGTACTTGAAAACTCCTCTTTTCAAGCTATTTTTGCCACGTTACGTTTCATAAACTGCTTTATAAGAATTATATATTCGCAAGACAACTAAATGTGGGAGTGAGCTATTCAGCATGTGCTACAGCTTCATTGGGAATATTGGAAAAGTTGATTAAGTATCTTAGAAATCTCTACAGTGTGAGTTTTAAGAAGTGTGTTGTGTTTGGAAATAGTTTGCTGTTCTTTGATGTGTCTGGCACACGTATATCATCGCTTCTGCACGCCTCCTCACTTTTTAAAGTTAAAAGCTGAGTTTAGAAAAAGGACTTCAGGAAGGTAAATTGCACTTACATAGTAAAGTGTAATTTTAAATTTTAAATTTTGCCATTTGGAGACTAAAAACAAGTGTCTTGTTTCTAAAGAAGAGTCCCTAGTATGTGTTCTATATCTGTTCTATTTCTCAGCTAAGATCCTCCTAAAGCTGCTACAGCCTAAATTGCCATTTTGCCTGTCTTATATTATCTTTTTTTTTTTGCTTTCAAACCAATAACATAAATTTGTATTTTCCTTTCTTGCAATTGCATATTTATTCTGGCTGAATTCAAGTTGCATCATACTGCTGAAATACACTATAATTTCTCTGTAACAAAATGGTTCACATTCTTAATGAGCTGTTCACTGTGAGCATCTGCTTGAGGATGAAAATAATTGCTTCCAGATGTTCCTGTTTCAAGAGGAGACATTTACTTTAAAGGGCACTTGCTTTCAAAGCAGAAGTTGGGTCCTGTGGATGAGGGAGGAATTGTCAGCTGTTTTAAATCACTGCAGCTCCATTGAAAACAAACCAGGGCTGCTTCGCTGCTCTGCCTATTTTAAGTCACGAGGTCCATGCCAGTTCACCCCAGCTGAGAATCTGATCCCCCCCAGCTTCAGAGCAAATTGTAAAATTTCATTTGAGCTGATTTAAAAACAAAACAAAGCCAGGCAGCTGCCTTGGTGCTGGCTTGTTCCAGGTGCTGGCTCCGTGTTCACACAGAGCTCCTGAGCTCGGGGTGAGAGGAGTGAGGGTGCATTGCTCTCCACTGCATAACTGAGGGTAATTTAGGGGTCTGGAGGAAAAACAAGGAGTAAAGCCAGATGGTGCACTCAAAGGATAGATCTTTTGTTTAAAATCCCTAGGGAGATGCTGTGGCTCCTTGCCTTATTAAGAAATCTTCCCCCCATATCATGCAATGCCATATCAGGGTCCAAAAAAAATCCAAAATGTTGTTTTAGCTCGAGAGTGAATAGAGTCTGTCCATGGGGCCAGAGCTGCCTCATCCTGCCTGTCTTTCTGATGTTCTGGGGCCTTATTTCATATCAAACCTCCCATTTTTAACTCTGCCTTAACCTGCAGCAGTCTCCTATCTCAAGAGCTGTGCAGAGCTTGTCCCAGTCTGGACTGGGATGTGCCTCTGAAACCCCTGAAAGTTAACTTTTTTCTGGAAGACAGAGGAGTTATTTGTAATTATAACTGTAATTTATAATCACCTGTGTAGAAAGCAGCTCCTCCTGGGGTTTCATTAAGTGGCTGCTCCTTAGAGTTTCTCAATCAGAAAAGTCAGTGCAATGCCTTTCCCTGATCAGTGCTTGGTTTATTTCACTGGGAGAAGAAAAAGAAGGGAAAAAAGCCAAAACCATGAATTTCCATTTCTGTTCATTTTCCCATCCATCCCCAAATATCATTGCCAATGTCAGCAGGAATGGGCAGGGCACTGGGAATAGTGGGTGCTTTAGATAATTGGTGTTGCAATACAGATGCAAGTTTAGTACTATTTTTAATTTGTGCAATATTGCCCACCAGACTAAAATAACTTACATGTGGAGCAGATTTTGAAATAAACTTTAACTCTGTAATCTTTGAAATAACCTTTGTGGTTTGCCCAAGCTGTGGTGTACACTGCACTCTACAGTTTTGGGGCAGAGGAGATGAGAAAAGGGTGCAGGACGTGGTGATTTCTGATCCCTCAGTGACACCAGTTCCAGATTCAACTTCAGTTCAATCACTCCATGTGAGTCTGCTTTGATTGTGGGATTCATATGATCAGCACACTAGTGGGATTTATGAATTATCATAAAACCTTTTAACCATTTGGAAGCCTGCATTCTCCTGTGAAAAATCGATTTGCCACTTGGAAAATTTAAGTGTGAATTTTTCAGGAAGGCTCAAACTCCCGATGGGGCTTTTTTCTTTTTGAAAACGGGGGTGACAGAGGCATTTGATATATGTAATGCACTCTGTTAAATTTTGGATGGTTTCTTGCCTTGGCTTTCCTGAAAAATGAATGATCCAGTGAAGGTGTGAATGTTGATGCTGATATGACTCCACCCAAAGGATGTCTGCTCTGCAATCCGGAAAACAAACTTGGGGCACACAAGCAAAAGCCACTAGCAGCTGTTTTTCCTGTGGAGTGTTTCTCAGTTTAGACATTGCCTTCTGGGCTCCTGTTAGGACATTTCACTCACTGCAGTTCCCTCCAGCAAAAGCCAGCAGGTACTACAGGGTGTAAGTTACTATTTGTTGGTGCTGCTTGCTTTTGCTACTCAGTTTGGGTTCAGGTGCTCATCCTGCAATACATCCTTTATTGGAAGGATTAACAGTCCTAAATTATTATTAAATATTAAGGATTAACAATCTGAAGGTCTGCAAGGTAATCCTAAACCATCCCTTGGGCTGATGAGTGTTTTAGGAAGACGCCAACTCTTTTGTAATGTGCCATTATTTAGGTTTGGGTCTGTTCAGCCTTAGTATTGTTCTTGATTTCATGTCCAGCCCAGGGATTAACTTTGCCACACATTTGCCTTGAAATCAGGAGTGGGACACGGTGGTTTGGTGATTAACACAGAACATTTAGATGAAAATAACTTGCAGCACTTGAGAAAGACGCTGAGGGTTCAAACTGAGGGTTTAATGTGAATGAAATACGTGGCAGGCTGTCAGTGCTCACATAAATTACTGGGGAAAATGTTGTGTTGTGCTCTCAGGAGCTGCTGAGTCGCACGTCTCTCGAGACCCAGAAGTTAGACCTGATGGCTGAAGTTTCAGACCTGAAGATTAAGCTGGTTGGAATGGAAAAGGAGCAGAGTGAATATGAGGAGAAACAGAACAAAGCTGAGGTGAGTTTTTTCCATTGGCTTGTTTTAACTCTTTTTTCATCGCGTGTCCGTGGTGCTCTGCCCCACACCTGAGCTTTTGGGCTGAAATCAGCAGGGAACAGGGTTTTCCTGTGAATTCAGGGAGGAGTACCATGGTGCATTTTTGCAGAAAACACTGCCAGGGGTACCACAAGCACTGAGGTCGGGGATTTTAATGTCTTTGTGTCACTTGGGAGGGCATTTGCCTCAAATGTCTCTTTCCCCTTGTGGCTACACAATAAATAGTGCCAAAAAACATCATGGGCCGGAGGCAATTCCAGCCCTTGGTCCCTTTCAGATGTGGGAGAGTTCTGGACATCAAAGGAGCTTTGGGTCTTGCTGTATTGGTTAAAAAAGAGAGTATGGAACAGAGAATTCATCTGAGCAACATCCATATCGTGGTGGTGAGCAGCAGGTGGGAGCTGGGGAGGAAAGAGAGAAATTCATACAAATTGCCATGTATTGTCCTACTCAGTGGTGCTGTAAGGGGACCAGCTAGCAGGAGAGGACTGCCTGGAAAGGAAGGATTACTGGGTCTGGGATGTATACATTGCCGAGTGAACAAAACAAAAAAACAAACCAAAAAAAACCGCCAAAAACAAACAAAAAAAAATACAGAAAAAAACCCCAACCAAACTCTGTTCCATGTTGATTTAGGAGAATATGAAATCCAGGCAGCACCAGGAACTGTTTGCTCTCCACAGCTCTGCCAGTGGAATAGGTGATAACTGTGCATCATTATGTAGCTCATTTGGGGTGTGTTTGTTTCCAGCTTATTTATCCTCTGAAGTTTTCTTTAGAGATTCAAAGATAACATAAAGAGAGCGATCTCTGGCAGAACCTGCAAGCCAGAGAGGCACCAGCTGCTGGTTTTTACCACCTGTGGCCCTTCTCGTGCTCTTTCAGGTGTAATTTTCACCTGAAAAATTGTGAAAAATTTTTTTCACAGTTGAAAAATTGTGTAAATTTTTCAATTTGTGTACCTCGTGCACCCTGAGCACTCTCAAGCTTCCCAAAAATCTGCACTGGTCTGAGCAGCACCTGCTGGCTCCAGCCTGCTCCCAGTGTGGAATTCAGGAATGGTTTTGGCAATCATTGCAGGCACAGCCTGGCTCCTGGACAGCAGTGCAGATTTTGGGGTGTGTTTTTATGGACAGCACTTGAGGGGGTGCCTGGGAGCTGTGAAATTCTGCAAGTGAGGTTTGTGTGCCCCCTCGGGTGGAAAAGCTGAGCTCTGAGCAGCCTGGGTGGCATTGCCAAGCCACAGGGACACGTTCCTGCTGAGATGGAAAAGGATCCTGATCTGATGGAAAAGCTGAGAATCCTTGTGTGGAGCATGCTCTGAATTATTTACCACCCCGAGGTGGGGTTAGGTTTCTGGAGTGCTGAAAGTGGCAAAGCTTTGCCAGGGGAAAAATGGGTGTTCTAAGGAAAGCTGTGGGAAACAAAACCAGTTTTTGGTTTGCTTGCTGAGTTATTTGTGTATTTATTTCAGATTCCCCTCAATAAGCATTCATCTCATTTATCAGGAGTTGCTTTCAATCAGATTGGAAGTTTAGTTGAATTCTAATGATTTAACCCTGTTTCTGCTCCTTTTCCTGTAAATTACACTAATTTTTCAATACAGACGCAATTTCAAACATCAGGATGAAATTTATGAATTAATTAATTTTCTTTCTTAGACTACAGCTTTGACAAAACCAGTCTGCCTGTAGTTTGCTCTTGGTTTTTGCATCCAGCAGTTAAACCATTTTAAACAGCTCATTCATGATACTTCATGGTTGACCCTGTGATTTCTAAATATAAGAATTGAGGTTAAAAAGTTTAAAATTCAGTGTGGCATTGCAGGATCATTCAGCTCAGCCATGTTTTCTCTGTACTCTAATTTTGTGTCAGCTTATTTCACAGCAGCTGTTTGCAGTCACTTAGAACTCATCTGCAGAATTATTTTTCTGCTTGGGCTAAGAGGAAAGGGAGCAAATTAAAGCATCCTTCTGAATATGAGCAAGTTTTAATGTGTAAGATTGGTTTCACTTTATCTGGTGCAGCTGTCATTTAAGTTTGGTTTTAGCTAGCAGCAAAGAGTTTATCAAGCATCTCCAACCTCCTCTCAAAGGTATTGATTTCACACTGAATGCCACTTGTCTCTGGCTCTTCAAAAGCACATGCTAAATATAAAGTGTCCTTTATTTATATATATTACAGAGGGGCCAGGAGAATAGCTGCTTGTTCATGGGCTATGTCACTCCTGGCTTTGTCATTTTCATTCTGTTTCTGGGGAATAATGTCCTACTTTTGACAAAATAATGCCATGAAAGCTTCTGGAGCCTCACCTGAGGAGGTTGTGTAGCTTTCCTCTTACCCTAGAAGCCTCAGAAATTTTTAAAATGTGTTTCTCTTAATGTAGCAAGGTATGAGGAAGCAGCATTGTCAAAAGATTTATGGCTGCCCAGATGTCTGCTCTACCTGAACGTGGACAAAAGAGACTTTCTGTCTGTCCTGCTTCTTCCTTTTGTGCCATGGCATAGGTCTGTGGGCTTGGCTGTAAGCTGCTGGCAGGTATTTTGTGGCTCTTGTAACTTCTGAATTAAATATCTACTTGCAATTCCAAAGAAACCTGAGCCACTGACTCGCTCTGGGGAGTCTGCTGCGCTGTCCCACCCGAACCAGGGCGCTGTAGTTATTGTTAATAAGTGTTTGTGCTGTGGAGGAACCTCAAAAAGGCCTTTTCTGCCTCAAAACTGGAAAGAACTGTGAAGGCAGGAGCAGGAGCTCAGCTGGGATGAGGATTTCTGCCATTTCTGTACTCTCTGTGGGCAGTCTGTGGATGCAGAGTGCTTCCCTCTCCCCTTCTCTAATGGCACAGGGGAGGATGGCAAGGTGGCAGCAGAAGAGTTTCTGGTTCCCCCCTGTCCCCACAAGCAGAGCAGCTGCCAGAAATCCCTGTTGGATTCTGGATCCCTGCCCTTCTCCACATCCCCGTGGGGGTTAACAGAGCTCGTGCCAAAGAGCAGCACAGACCAAACCTTGGTGCCCAAAAGGAAGAGATGGGAGTGTGTGTCCTGCCCCTTCCAACCCCAGCTGCTCTGGGAGGATGGCAAAAAAACCCAAAGCTAACCCTCATTTATGTCCATTAAAGCTTTGTTGGGTGAAAGAGGATGAGCATCAGATGCTGAGATCCTGACTGAGCACCATTTGTATAAAGTAAAATGTATGTAATGGCTTTTCTGAATTTCATCTTAAACTCAGTGAGCTGGAAAATCTCACTTTGATAAAACTCTTCTGTGTGAGTTAGGTAAATCTTTGTGGGTGCTGTTCCTGCCCTTGCTGTTCCCCAGCTCTAAGACTCCTGATTTTACTGCAGAATTGAGGTAACAGGAGGATTGTTGGCAGCTCTAATGAAGAAAACAATAAATAAAATTATTTGCCACATCATCTGTCGTTCCATCCACTGAAATCTTCTTCTTTCCTTTGGAGGGTGGATTAAACTCCTCAGATTTGTTCCACTTGAGGAGACTGAGAAACCACAAAATTTATGTTATTAATGTGCATGGAAGCTAAGAGCAAGGCACTTCAAACTTGTGAGAGCTGTAAAAATACTCAGTGCTCTTTGCTACAGAGTTGGGGAATTTAGGTGAAATACCATCTAGATTTTCATACTTTGCTTTGCTTTCTAAGCTGGATTTTTCGTGTGTGTGTACCACTGATACACACAAATCCAAGAAGCTGGCCAGCAAAACAATGCACTTTAAAATAATTATTTTGTCTTCTGGGTTATCCTCCTGATTTCTCCTGCATCTATTGTTTAACTCCTCCTCCACGTCAAGATCCTGCCCAGATAGAGAGGAGAAATGGAGTTATTTTTCTGCCCCCTGCTAGGCCTGGAAACAGAATTACTTTGCTTGTAAATTCTGAAAGAGAAGGCTGCAGCCCCAGCTGAGCACTTTGCAGCTTCTTCCCACTGGATGCTTTGGAAGTGCAAATGAATGCAATCAAGTCCCACTTCAGCAAAAGCTTACCTCTGAGCCAGCATATTAAAATCTGTGCCAAATCATCCCTCACGTGACTGTAAAACTTTCCAAAAACAGTTTCTGATCTTAACTTCAGAGTCAGAATCATGAATTAGGCTGGAATGTGGATTCAGCTCCATGTAAACTCTGCCTTTGTGCAGTATTCCAGGTTTATACTCATTCACATCTACTTTATCAGAAAGAAAACACATAATCTGTCCTTTTTTAGTTTGCCTTTGATGTGCTTCACATAGTTCTTTGTGCTTCAACTGTAGAAATATATATATTTTTTTTTGCATAATTTTTTTCTCACCTGTCTATTTTTTTGTCTTTTTTTTTTTCCCCCCTTTCCTCCCGTGTTTTCAGTCAGTTGTGAACCTGATCAGTGACCTGCAGGAGCAGATGTGTAGACTGCAGCTGGAAATTAATAGTAGGATCCAAGAAAGGAAGTCTCAAGATAGGAAAGCAGAGCTGACCCCCAATGGTTGTCCCTCTGGTGCAGGAGCAGTAGAGCCTCTGGGCCAGAAGAATTGCTCTCGGTGTGAAGTACGAGAAGCACCCTTGGCAGAATCCCCTGCATTGCCTCTTCCCTCTCTTGCACAGACTAAATTCCACTAACCAGACCTGCCCTGGGAATGTTTTGGCATTAATCTTTGTGGCTTCCATTAGCAAAGAGTGAGAGTGCTGTAAAAAAATGACCCAAAAAAAAAAATAACCTCCCACCCCAGACTCTCCACCCCAATTCCTGGGACAAATTTGGTCACTGTTGTTGGCCCTCTCCCAAAGCACAGAAATCTGTAAAACCCAATCACCCCTTTCAGCTTTTTCACAGTTTCCATTTCACTTGTAAGTCTGCAGTGCTGGTGTGGGGTTGTTTTGGGGATTTGTCTGATGTGCAGCATGCTGGCATGGTTTGGTAGTTTGCTACTTTTCCTCATGATGATGCCACCCCAGCTGTGCTTAAACACAAATTATTGATTCCTGGAGATCTTAAAAGCTTAACACAGGTATAAAACAATTTCAGCTAAGACTCTCTGACATTTACCCTTTCTTTTTCTATCCAAAAGAGCCACAGTAAAAATAATCTGCTTGTACTTTTAAAATAGGAGGTCCAACACAGTTTTGTTTATTCCCTGACATTAGGAGCTGCCAGAATTTACATAACAGAACCTGATCAAAAATGTGTCACATAAATGATTTCATTTCACTGAAGGTGGAATGATACTGGTATGCCAAGAAAAAAACCTTTTAATATTTTACTTCAAATCAGGTTGCTACCACATCCCTTTGGTGAAATTTGCATGCCCAGAACTCATAAGTAATCTGCTTGTATTGTGGGGGATTTTTTTTCAGTAATTCCTCTCATAGGTTTATATTTTAAAAGTAACTATTTTGCATTTTACACCTATTTTGAAAACAGTGCTGTTGTTTCTGGACTTGTGTTTGTGCAGAGCTGCTCAATGGGCTATTAGAACTACAAGCTGTAGGCTGGAGAAATAATCTAAGAGTCAAATCTAGGAGTCATTCCAAATAAATCCTACTGAAATCCAAGATGCAAGTGTGGTGCTCAATGTGTGTGCTGTGCAGGAGTCCAAAATTGGGATTCTCCCCCAAACTTTTCCCTTCTTTGGTTCATTTAAAGACATTTTGTCTTGTCAGAGCTCCATTGAGGTTTTAATAATACTGTCCTTTAGAATGGGCAAGATCCAGTTCTGTCAAGGTGTGGGAGAAGGGATACTTAAGGGAAAACTTCTTTGAGTAGGTCACAGTTTTTAGTGTGGCGGTTCCAGTGTTGAGCACTGTGTGGTTCGTGCACGAGCTGTAATTCGGAACTGTCAAAAATTAGTATCTGTCAAAAAAAAAAAAACCCAAAAAAACCCTAACCTTTAATTTCTTCTTCCTCTGCAGGGTTTGTTACAGGAGCTCAGACACCTGAAAATTAAAGTGGAAGAACTGGAAAACGAAAGAAATCAGTATGAGTGGAAATTGAAAGCGACTAAAGTAAGCAGAGTCCTTGGCATTTTCTAACTGCAGGCTTCTATCAGCTGGGAAGGGATGTGCTCCCCTTCTCATCAATATTTACTTTTCTGGCATTTACCTTGTGGCAGGGTAGCTGTGAAGTCAAGAATTCTTTAACCAGGTTTGGGACAAATACCTTGGTTTGAAGGTGTTGTGGTTTCCTTCGTGCCCTTTGCTCCCTCCGTGCACTTTTCAGTCAAGTGCTCCTTGCAATTCTTATTTTAGGAAACCACAAAAGGCATTTTGACTTGCAAAAAGTTGCTCAGAGTAAAGGATTCTTTGAAGGCTGGATTTGTGTAATGGTGACAAGCCTCTGTGGGATTCGCTTTCCAGCCTGGAGAGACATGCAAAGTTTATTGGGTGTTTGCTTCCTATGGAATTTGTTTTCGTAGAAATTTATCCCAAAATACACCATGAGATCACCTGCTTTGTGTATATCAACTCCTGTTGACCTTAAATCCTGCAAAGCTGTTGGATCATAATCTGGACAAACCTGACATGTTAAATACTTAATCATTTTCCCCAGTAATTAATTTTTCTAGTGGAACATTCTCTCTGCTATTCCTAGTTTGAACTTTTAGCCCTTTTCCACTAGATTAAAAAGCACCACACGATTTTTCCTTCTTGTGCTGTAATCACATCTCCTTTCTTTTGTGTAACAATCCCTGTTTATATCAATGACTGACTCTTGAGTTGTGGCTGAATCTTGGAGAAACATTTCAAATTATTAAACTGAATTTTCTATTTAATGCTTGACAGCTTGATCCAGACATGACAAATAGCTATTATTTGTATTAACATTTCTTTCTTTTGAGAATTATTGGATGAGTAACAGAATGTTGCTGTCATGTCTTTTTTTCCTCATGAAGATAATAGTTCTTCAATCCATGAAAATGTTTTCTCTGACGTGGTGGAGATGAACAGTCTTTGGGAAAATATTTTCTCAAGCAGTGTGTGGCCAGCTGCCAAGACAGATAGAAATCATGGAAAAATGTAGGAGCAGAAGGAAAATGGGAAAGAAGAATCATAAAACTCACTGAGGGAGAGAAGATACAGGACTGGAAAGGAAGAAAAGTACAAGGAACGAGAGAGGAAGAAGAAAAATAATCAAAGAATTAGATTTTAAGGGAAAAGAGAGCTTTTAAAAGAGCTTTGAGATCGAATAGACCAGGGGAGGCAAACCCAGATCTGGTACGGAGAGGTCTTCAAGCTTTTATCTTCCTGTTGTTCCAGCTTCTTAGATGAGAAACTGGAATATATCCATGGCTGGATATAAAAAGCATATTAGTCAGTGGGAAGTGTAGGAGCCCTTGAGAGGTGCAGCAAGGCAGATTCTTCTATTCCACGTGGAATTTTAGGCAGAGCAGTGACGTTATCCTGCAGTCCAACCCCTTTGTTCGTGGTCAAAATGAGTTTGTGTGTTAATTAATCTGTGTTTGTCCCTATTTGGGTAATGTTGTCTGGTGTTTTGTGTCTTTCCTGCTTTATTTTAGTATTTTGGGAAACTGGACACATTCATGATTTTTGTTTTGTCCTTGTTCTTTGGTTTGTTTCTTCCTTTTTCCCCCATTTTTTTGTTTGTGGTTTTTTTTTCTTTGTCCTTTATCTGCAAGGAGGTTTTGTGTGCTCTTACATGGCAAAAGCAGAACTTTGATGCCCAGAGGTTTTGAGACTTCTGAAGAAAATCTTACCAAACTGACTTAGCAAAATATGCTGGTAGCAGTTTTTCTCATCAATACAAAAACCAGATCAGAATCACTGAGTTTCAAGCTGAACAATCACAGAATTCTTCTCCCTCTGTCTTGCTGAGCTCTTTCATGTGGGATTTTCTATCCAAATCCAGGGGCAGCCCTAAATTTCCAGAAAATATAAATGAACACTGGGATTTTGTTGTATGTCTGTTGTTGCTTTCCAGGCTGTGCTTTCCTGCTATCCTCTTTGGTGTTTTGAGGAAAAACAGTTTTGTTATCTTGCTGAGAAGGCTCAGCATTAATAGATTCTCAGTTACTATTATTATTATTGTTATTGTTATTATTATTGTTGTTGTTATTAATAATAATAACAATAATCATAATAATAAATAATACTGTTTATTGATATTATTGATCTTAATTATATTATTATTATTTTTATTAGTAGTACTATTGTTGATATTAATAATATTTTATTAATATTAATAATATTGTATCTATGTATTTATATATATACACTTACTAGTATAAGTAGTAACTAGGATTAAAAATAACCACTATGTTTAAAAATCCTTTGATATCTTTTAGAGGTCTTCATGCAGAGTTTGAGCTCCCTATAATAGTTGTTATTATTAGTAGTAGTAGTAGTATTATTATTATTATACCAACTTTGAAGCATTGAGAGCTTTCCAGAGTTTCCTTACCTGCATAAATCCTTGGAAATTTTACCTTTCTCTATATCTGTCTCCTCCAAGAACTGATTGCATGGGGAAAAATGAAATTCTCTAGTAGCAATAGCAGCATAAATAAATATGTCCAGCTGTTTGTGAAATATCCCGAGTTGGTAACTGGCCTCAACCACAGGTGCATGCTCTGAAATCTTCTAGTTTGTGGGACAGAATCCCAGAAACAGAGGGTGGGGAAGTTATTCTGACTTTTCTGGGCTCTTTTTCAGGCTGAGATTGCGCAGCTCCAGGAGCAGCTGGCTCTCAAGGATGCAGAGATAGAGCGCTTGCAAAGTCAGCTCTCCAGGACCTCCTCCTACACAGAAGTGGCAGAAAGAGGTAAGAGGAAAAGAACCAAAATTAAGAATTCAGAACCCTACTTGGACTTTGCTTTGGTGGCAGCTTGGCTCAGGATTGCAAAGGGATACAAAGAAATGCAAGAATGGACTTAAAATTAATTAAATTAATTCTGTGTTCTGGTAGAGGCCTTCAATGTGTGAAATTCTATTCCAGTCTAGAGGCAGCACAAATTGAAACAAGCATCCTCAAGGCCCTGAAACTTTTTCTGCCGGTGTTTAATTTATTGTTGTAAAGACTCATTGTGGTCCAATGGGAATTCATTTTTATAAATTATACCTTGAAAATGTCTTTGAAAAATCTTTAGAGTTTCTGGTTTTTAAGGGTAAAAGCCTAATGTTTCATCCTAAAACATAAAAAAAGACAGTCTTTACTTCCTTTCTTCATGGCTGTGTCTCATTCAGCTCCCTGTCCCATGAAAGTTTGCACCAGATGGATTTTCAGTGTCCCTGCCAGCCCAGGCTGGTTTAGGGCTCTCTGACATTGCAGGTTTCTGGTTTAATCCTGCACTGTTGACACAGGTCAGTGGTAAACAAACCAGTTTGTTTGGCCTTTGGCCTCAAGCAGCAGTGCCACAGCTCTCTGAAATATCCACTGAAAACTGTCCACTGAAAAGTATCCACAATTCTCTGAAATAGCCACTGAAAGCTATTCACTGAAAACTGTCCACAATTCTCTGATATATTCACTGAAAACTATTCACTGAAAACTAGCCACAATTCTCTGATACGTCCACTGAAAGCTATCCACAATTCTCTGAAATATTCACTGAAAACTGTCCACAATTCTCTGATATATTCACTGAATATTCACTGAAAAGTGACCACTGAAAACTGTCCACTGAAAACTATCCACAATTCTCTGAAATATCCACTGAAATCTATCCACTGAAAACTATTCACTGAAATCTATCCACAGTTCTCTGAAATATTCACTGAAAACTATTCACTGAAATCTATCCACAGCTCTCTGAAATATTCACTGAAATCTATCCACAGCTCTCTGAAATACTCACTAAAAACTATCCACAGCTCTCTGAAATATTCCCTGAAATCTATCCACAGCTCTCTGAAATACTGAAATCCATCTACAGCTCTCTGAAGTATTCACTGTAAACTATTCACTGAAATTTATCCACAGTTCTCTGAAATATTCACTGTAAACTATTCACTGAAATTTATCCACAGTTATCTGAAATACTCACTGAAATTTATCCACAGTTCTCTGAAATACTCACTGAAATTTATCCACAGTTCTCTGAAATACTCACTGAAATCTATCCACAGTTCTCTGAAATATTCACTAAAAACTATTCACTGTAAACTATTTACTGAAATCTATCCACAGCTCTGAAATATTCACTCCCTGGGGCTCCTGCCAGCTGCTGGGCCAGGAGAAAATGGAATTAGGGACCTTTTCCTCCCCTTGCAGGAGTGTCTGTGTGCAGTTTGCACAGGGCACCAGCTTTGCTGCTCTAACAGCTCCTGTGGCTCTTCCCTGAGGTTTTCCAGTCCTGCCCTGGCTGGGATGTGCATTTCCATCTGTTCCTCCCTTCCAGGGCATCCCAGGAGCCTCCTGAGGTTCATTCCAGCCAAGTGATGTCTCCCTGTGCTGACCTCACTCAGCTTGTGCATGTGGAGAGCTGCATGTCTAACCCAAAAATGAGTTTGTCTAACAGCAGTGCTCGGTAGAGGAACCCTTCTGCTAATGGCATTTTGTATTTTCTGGGAGATTCCCAAAGAATTGATGGTGTTTCAAAGGAAAGATAGGGGTATGACAGTAAATCAAGAGCTCACTCAGCAGCGTTCAGCTTCCAGAAGTGTGGTGAAACTTGATTCCAGTGGCAAAAGAATCAAACCCTCTACAAAACCTGTGGGCTTCATTCAAGGAAAACACTTAAGCCTATTTGAATGGAAACAGTAACAATCCTTCTGGGAAAAAAAAAAAAAATTAAAATACTGATTTATCAGAATTTTAAGTGGTCTTCTCAAAGTTGAAAAATTATGTCAATGTCCTTGTAGCATGCTAGAGTGCATATCCTAATTAAATTGCAAAATTAATCTAATATGTGCTTTTTCTACATACTTTATTTGACTCTCACCACTCACCACCGTAGAGGAAGTTTATAGGAGAAGGCTAAAAGAAAAACGTAAGCCTTGCAATTCCCTTTTGGCTTTATCTCACTGCTCCTTTCACACCAATGTTAACCCAGATGCAGCAATAATTCTGTGTTTGTTAAATCTGGCTGTCTAATTGTAACCCACACCAGCTCCCACTGCTTGCAGCAAGCAGACAGCTCCTTGTTCAGCGAGGTTTTACTGCAGAAATAAAGGCCAGAGGTTCACAAATCAAATTGTTGGGCTTCAAAGGGATGTTGTCAAGGTTAGCAGAGCCAAAACTTAACATTTACACCCTTTTATTTATGTTTCCCATTTAATATCAGGAAAGACAGATTTAATTGAAAGCCTCTCTCTTTGGAGGGGACGATTTAGGCTTTGTTGTTGTGGTTTGTTTTTTTTTTTTTTCAAATCACTGCATTAAATTTAAATTAAATAAATATATGTAAATTAAATAAAAATAGTCTGAATAAATGTCCCCATACTTGATGACATTAATGAATATTGTAAGTAAAATCTGCTTTAGTGTGCTTAAATCTACCTTGACACCAGTCCTTTTTGAAGTTTAATATTTATCAAGAGAAATTCATAGGACTGTGATTTTTGTAAGAAAAGTCTCCCAGTTGCTTTCCCACTGCCTGGCTTTAGTTTTTTATTTGGCTGTGCCTGTGCATGTCCTGTGTCTCTTCTTTGAGAAAATGCCTGTGAGGTTCATTTACATGTTTTAAAACTTAATCATTGCAAGGTGTGTGCTTTCCAGAATCCCTGCAATAAAAACTAATTACAGCTTTTTCAAATAGCTTAGCTATGACATTGTGTGTTCAACATTAAATTGTAAAACCCTTTTTCACAGATGCTCTTTGGCAATGTTGATTTTCTTTCCCCTCTCTCCCTCCATGCCTGCTGCCATATCTGTGTTGATGGATTTTTTTGGGATCAGTTGTGTCTGGTTTAATGCCAATTAATAGCTTGAGAGGTAATTACAACAGAGGAACTATTTCAGCTCCTGCCTCCATCACACTTGGTTCAGTCAGGAGGACTTGCTGGGGTTATTGTGCAGAGAAAAATGAGAGATTTGGTTCAGCAGAGTTGGGGTGTGATAAACAACCTCACACATTTTCAGAGAGGGTGTTTTAACTGGCTTGACATCACTAAATTGTGCGGGAGGAAATTCTCCACTCGCTCGTGACGTAGATTTTAACCGAGTTGCTCACACTGAAACATTTAGGTAAATAAAATTTTACAGAATTTCATTGTATCAGACCAGTTTTTGGTTATTTTTCATTCCCAGGTTCATGGATGTACTTTACTTCTCAGATGGAATGTATTTTCAATCCTACTTAAAATTATTTCCTTAAGTATGACAGCAAACACACCCTCATCTTTTGCAAAGTTTCTTTTCTTTTCCACTGTTTGACTTCCATAGTTTAAAACAGTGTTCTGTAGTCTTTTGTGAGCAAAACCAGGATGTGTGTGTTGTGCAATGCTCTTAAAAAAAATCCACATTTAATTCAGTTTAGTTGTGCACTGGCCATGCCACAGACATGGTTTGGTTGTTAGTAAGAACATGGGGAGAATATCACAAAACATCTATTTGCAGTAAAGATAGCAAGTCCTATTTCTCTTACAACATTTTAATCTTATTTCTCTTACAACATTTTAATCTTATTTCTCTTACAACATTTTAATCTTATTTCTCTTACAACATTTTAAAACGTTTTTAGACCAAGAGGTTCAGCGGTTGAAGATAGGAATGGAGACGTTATTGGCTGCAAATGAGGAAAAGGTGAGAAGATAATCCTTGTTCTACGTATTAAGAATGAAATTATGGGTTTGAGTCTCTGAAATGTTCCAAACAACACATTTTTTGTGCAAGGACTAAATGAGAAAAGGGATTAATTCTTCAGGAGGCTGTAGCTTTTGTGGTAATAAATCCAGCCATGGGATTTTCCTGGATGGTGGCACACTCATATATGATCACAGACAATAATATGCATCCCTAAAAACTTCCTTTTAGTTAGTGGGGAATCCAGACAGGGCAGCATTCATTCTGGAGAACATCAATGTGGCTCATAACATTTCTTTCTCAAAAAAGCTGGGATGTCAAACTTCTCTGGTTTCTTTCCATCTCTAATTTCACATTGTCCAGCAAATATTGTGTACAAAGGCAGATAATATTCCTTACAAGCATGTGGAAGACTGAGCCTGTTTTCATGAAAATCACAGGGATGTAGTTGAGTGTTTCTGCAGTTAAAAGTGAAGGGGTTTAAATGGAATTTTATTTATTTCATGTTTTCCACAGGACCGTCGGATAGAGGAGCTGACACTTCTGCTAAGCCAGTACAGGAGGGTCAAGGACATAATGATTGCAGCTCATGGTAAAATGTCTTGTGAATAATTTCCTGCTTTATTTTGAGTTTATGTGGTGTTTCCTGTGACCATCAGCAATGTTTTACAGCATAAAATGGTAGCAGGAGAACTCATTTCCCTTCCTGACAGCTGGCTAGACAAGCCTTGTTTGGAAGTAACAACTGAAAACCCACATTACTTTGCTGCACACAATTCTGTGTATTTAACTTCAAAATCTGGGGGGGGAAAAAAAATAAATCTTTGTCCCTTTTCTCATTTACTCTGTAGGAAGTGGAGTGGGTTTTAGGACAATCTCATTTTAAGTTGTCACCATCATTTTCAGCACTGAATTTAACCTTGGGAAACTTGACCTTCTGAAGGGACAGTTCTGTTCCATGCACACCATCACATTAACAAGACATAATAACAACATTTTTAGGCCTTGAATGGCAGAATGGAAACTTGTGTTTAGCACACAAAAATACAGAATGAGAGTAAATGTGTTTAATGCACAAAATGGGGAATGAGAATAAACCTCTCTTAGAATGTTCATTAAGTAAATAAACAAAAGAAACAAGGAGCAAGCCGTGATGCTCTGGGTTATTGAGCTGATACTGCAGAGAGCAAACTTTGCCTTTTTCTCTCTTTTTCTGCTCTCCAATGCTTTCAGGCTCTTCTGTCTCTGGTGCCAGTGAAGAGGAACTTGAGGCAACTTTAAGGAAGTGGAATCTTTTGAATAATTCTCCAGGAGAATTCCTGAAAGCAGAGGTACAGAGATGTTCTAGAAGCAGGTTCTGCTGTATGTAGATGTATATATATATAGAGAGAGATGATTTTTTTGCTGTTGGTTTCTCTGTAGTAATGTAGAAGAGGGTTCAGCCCTGGCTGAATTTCTGTATTTCTTGGTATGGGCACAGTAGATTCAGCAGCAGACACAGGATTGAAACTCTTGTATCTTCCCCAGGCCTCTGCAGGAGAATTGTCCCCAGCTGTGCTCCCTCCAGTGCCACACAAAGCCATGGAAATCAGGCAAGACCTTCCTTTCTCGTGTTTCATGTGGGTGATGCTAAATTGGATTATTTAGACTGTTTAAATGCTGGCACCTTGTCTTGACTGTTCTTGGCTTTGGGCACTTGTGAAAGCTCTGCTTGTCGTGGAGGTTTGCAATGCTCAGATGCTTAAGGTTTAAATTATAGGAATAAATCAGCATTTTTATATATCAGCAGATATATGCACTGTAATCCTTAAAACCATAAAATTTATTTCTATTTGAAGTGGAAGTGTTCCAGCACCTTCAAGCAGTTTAACCTCTCAACAGGAAGAATCTTTGGAAATCACAAATAGGTAAGAATGAGTAACTTCCATTGAAATGTAAACCAGTTTTCCTCTCTAAAATCCCTAAATGTTGCACATTGCTCACAGAGAGCTATTGTTATTATATTATAATATTCTTACATTTAATTATTATTATTAAATTAATATTGCTGTGCTTGTTAAGAGCTTCTAAAATCATCTACAGATCCAAGGCTAAAGCTGCCCACTGGGCCTGGCTGCCTTTCAGTGCTGCTCAGAGGATGCCTTGTTGCTGTTTCTGCCTTCATCTCTCTCAGTTCTCCAATTTTCAGACCAAAAACACAATAAAATAAACGAATTTCTTAACTCTGAGCTGTGTTTCATGCGGGCATTATGTGATTTACACAGTTCTTGTGTGTGACACACTCAAAAAAAAACATGTATTAACTGCTGCTTTTTTGCCTGTCCCTTTCTTCAAGGGTTCCACAGAAAAAAAAGTCAAGTAGTTTAGAAGACTTGCAGAGCGAATCCTTGGAAAAGGTTGGTTTATTTGGCATCACAGCTCCTGGTGTTCAATGTCACAGCTCAAAAATCAAGTATAAATATCCTTTTTGTTATTCATTTAATAACTTTAACCACCACTAACTCTGTATGTGGGGAAAGAGCCCTAAAACAGCTCAGGTTCTTTTTCCACCCCCAATTCCAAGCTGGTTGACACACCCATGTGGACACACCTTCAAATTCAGTTTTTGCCCTGAGAGAAACAAAAATATTTAAGTGAAACACAATCAATAATGAGGAGTCATTCTGTTAAAGTGCAGTATTATTTTATTTATGAGTGTTCTTAAAATATATATATTTATATATTTTACTTACAAATGACCAAAAATATTGAGGCAGCTAATCCTGAAAGTAGCTAAAAGTTGGGACTGGGTATTTGCACATAGGATTCCTTTTTGGGTGTTTGCATGGAGCTGTGTTTTCCCTTACCTCTCTGATGCAAATGCCATTCCTGAAGATGGCAGTGATGCTGCCTTAGCTCAAGCAGCAGGAGCTGGTTTCATTCCATTCCAGAATAAAACTTCCCAATTTCCCTTGTTAGACTGTGGTGCCCAGTCCTGTTTTGTCATTATGCACACTGACATTTCTCTGCACTTCTGTAATTCTGCTTTGTGGCATTGTTGTTGCCTTCTGTACTCAAATCAGGCTTAAATACCAGGTTACCTACACCCAGCAAGGCCATTTAAACCAGATACCACTCATATCTTAAATTGTTAAAAAATTTTCTTAAATATTTTAATATTTTTCTTGAATTGCTGGAGATGATAGTGACTGAGTGTGTGAAATTTGTGCTGTATTAATTTGATTGTAGTCACACACATCACAAATCAGAACTAGCATTTCATTCCGTGAGGAACCGATGTTTTCTCCTCTTAACTTTCAGTTATTTTCTTGTCTTAAACCAAAAAATCTGGATTTGTCTCTGTGATATGCTGTGATAAGGCTGGACCTACACATTTATGCTGGAGTTATTCTGCCCTGCTCAAAGCTCAAATTGCCATTGCTTCCAGCAATAATAATAATAATAAAACAATAAACCACATTGGTGTCCCTGACCTAACCATGGTGGAATTTTTATAACTTTGTTTCTATCAGAGCTCTTTATGGTTTCAGCTGGACCCATCCAGGATTGTGTGTGTTATTTTATGCCAGTTGTTTTCATATTGGTCTGTTAAACAGCTCTTACGTTCCCAGCTCAAAGTCAGTCTAAAGGGACCACCCAGAAACCTGAAAATAACAAAAATTCCTTTGATCACGACAGAACTCAAACAGGAATTGTGCAGAGGGGGGAATGAACAAACACAGTCTGTATTAAATATTGGATTGAGACAAAATTAAGAGGTAACAGCCCTTGTAAAATATTGTCCATACATTAAGCACCATCTCTATAGCAGTAAGATTTGATGTTCCATGTATGTATGTTAATACTAACATTTGTCTGTTGCTTTTTTTCCATAAAACCTTGAAATTGCCCTCCCCGAAACTCCATAGTATGTAGATGGAAAACCAGCACAGCCTGTTGTAGAACAAGAGGTATATTAACTGCAACCTTTCCTAACAATTCTCTGGTGTGATGTGGTGTGCTGTGATGGTATGGCTGGTTTGTGTTTTATATTCATCTTCTCTCCAAAATGTTTGCATAGTTCCAGTGCTGACAAAACAGAGGGTAAAGGTTTGAAGGGGAAATCTTTGGCTTTCTTCCTTTTATATCTAAAAATATGCTACATGAAGCTGAGGTCAGTCAGTCTCGGAATACACACTGGTGATGCAAGACACAATTTCTCTACTCTTACAGTATTTTTGGTATTTGTACTCCTGCAGTTGCCAAAAAAAAAGGAGCAGGAGTTGAGGAATCTGGCCTGCAGTTGTAGTATCCAAAGAATCCTCTAGACCTTGGAACAAGAACAGATAAAGCAGTGAATATCTCATTGAATATTCAATGTATCCTCCTGTCACAGGCAACGTTCCGAGACAATTTTGTTGGAATGGGGTTACTGAGGGGGAGCACACTGTACCTTCCTCCACAATAAATATGATTTGTGTGTTTCCAGTGCAAATTTCTCCTCTGGAACCTCCATTCTGATACTGAAACATTTACCAGTGTGAGTTTATTCCAAAACACGTGTTGGATGTACACCGTTCCCCCTAATAACATCAGCTGGAGCTGCAGGTCCAGTGCATGTCTCAAAAATCATCTCTGTCCTACAGCTTTCCCCCAGGGCTGGCTTGTCCATCTTTTCATCTGAATTCAGTGCTGGACAAATGCCAGCAAGCCATTTCCAAAATTGCAGTCAAAAGTACCTCTGTGAAACATATGCTTTGCCTGGAAAAGTAACTGATTAGGCTCAAAACTATTTATGGGAACATTTCATCTACCCTTGTAAAAGGAACATGGTACCCAAGTAGATACCAAGGAAAATTAGGTTCTGTAATAGAACTGGCAATTCTATTATTATTATTATTATTTACATTATTATTATTATTTACATTATTATTATTATTATTTATATTATTATTATTATTTACATTATTATTTACATTATTATTTACATTATTATTTACATTATTATTTATTACATTATTATTTATTACATTATTATAATTTATATTTATAGTTGCTATTATTAATGGCTGTAATTATTTTTTAAAAAAAAAAGGCAAAAAAACTTCACATTTACAATTCTGTCTATGCAAAGAGATTTTTTGTCCTTAGGAAAACTAAATTTCTGTACCTTGTCTTTGGTCTTGATTCTTTTACTGTTATTAATGGTGGTGGGAAATATGTCTGAGGAAATCTGAGGTGTACAAACGTTTTTGGGTTAAATTCCAGCGAGATACAAAAGTGAGGCAGAAACAGAGAACGTCTGGTGGAAAACAGGGGAGGAAAGAAATGATCTGAAAAGTAACTAAAACATTTTTGGTGCTATCAGAGTTGACCTTGGAAAGAGCAAACCATTAAATAGTGCCAGGGTCCTGGAGGAAAGGGAGACAGCTAGAAAAATTCTTATGGCCAAACCAGGTGATATTTAACACCTATTTCAAAGCAAAGCAGAGAGGATGGAGTGGGAAGGGCAGAAGAGGGAGGCTGTGGGGTTTTTTTGCTGGGAAGCTGGCAGCTGGTGGATGGGTTTAAATTGAGTTAATTTAATTTAAATTAATTTTTAAAAATTAAAAAAAATTAATTAAAGCAGAACTTGCAGGGAGTGGAGCATTTTGAGCCGCGCTTTTTTCCTCAGCCGCAAGAAATCGCGTAGCGCGTTGCGGATTCCGCGGGCGATTCGATCCCGGATTTATTTTCTCTTCCCCTCTTTTGCAGCAGAGTAAGGCAGTGGGGAAGAGCAGCAAGTACCAAACGCTGCCAGGAAAGCTGCCCCGAGCGCTGCAGAACGGAGAGCAGGGGATGTACGGCTCCCCAGAGGGATGTGGCACGAGTGACAACGGTGACAGCAGCGTCCCCGGCCTGAGTATGTACCTGTGCCTCTCCCAGAGGGAAAATCCAGGCTGCTCCAGGGCTTGGGATGGGATCTGCTGGGCCAGAACAATGCACATGGGTCACTTGGGGAATGCCTCACCACTTTTTTATAATTTATTTTTTTTAACACAGATATCAGAAATATTCCCATATTCCCATAGCTCACGGCGGAGTGAAGGATGAGTTTAATTTAGAGGGTTTGGGTTTTTTTCTGTTGCACTTGGCAACACCATTTGAAACTTTACAGTACAAAACTGAACATTTTGGGTAAAAGTCCCTCTATCAGCACTGTCTGTTGCTTAGCTATGGGGGACCCACTAGTGAAAATTCAGTTTACTACATGCAAAAAAACATCTGTGGATGTTGGAACTTCAAATATATTTCCATGCCACAGCCCTGTGGAGGCCTGTATTAATTTCTTTTCAGTGGCACCTTAAGCACAGATTTGTTGACAAAAAGGTGCTGAGAGTGAGGCACAGGTATTTTTTTAGGACTGAAGAGCTTGGGAGCTCGGGCACAGGAGCATCCCTTGTGATTCTGAAGTCTCTGCACTCTAAAAGTTACAGTGTGGGATTTTTTGTTGTTTGTTTGGCTGTAATTGGGTTTTTTTTTCCCCTTTGGTGGGGGTTGGTTTATTTTAAGGCCTCGTGGTCCCTAAAGCTGCTAGCACACCAAAGTTTCAAGGTTGCAATAGATTGTGGTTGTTTCGAGGTTTTGAAAGAGCTTTTTTGTGATTGATTTCTTTGTAGACAATGCATGAGTGTCTTTAACTGCAGGATTATCCAAGGGTGGGTGAGCTTGTAAAGGAAAATGTTCTTTTCCTAGAAACAAGCAATAGCTTCTTAAACACACTGAGTTAAGAGAATTTTGTTCTGCAGGTTGCTTTGTTTCTTGCATTAAATTCATTCCACCTCCAGTTCTGTATTTTGGAGCAATTTGATGTAATCTCAGCCATTGCTTCATTTCAGATCCGCTTCAGGCTTCGTAGACCTCTTTGCTTAAAGAGCTAAAACTTTCCAAGAATAGTTAGGAAAGCCCAAACAGATCCATTTTCATCCCTTCGTGTTTAAGATGATCTGTGCAGAGTTCTTGGGGCTCGTGCACACCGATGCAGATTCACTTCCACGTCGAGCATAACTGCTTCATTTTCTTTCTGTTCCTGCTTGTAATGCTTAGCTTAACTACTTTGCCCTTCTGTAACTTTATTTTGCTGGTGTTTTGTATCTTCTTTGCTTCTCCATCTGGCTTTCTGCCTCTTGGGATGACTGAAGATCGCGTCAGGAGTGTCAGTGCGCCCGTGCTAGGTACTGTATCCAACAAGACGCAACTTTAACGCTCATTTCGCTGCTTCCTTCCTTCCTCTCCTTTCCCCCTCCCTTTCCCTGTGGAATACTAATCCCAACTGAGCTCCTTAGGTGCAGTACTGAAATGAAGTAATAGCTCCTGCTGTGTGGCATTCACGTGGGGTTTCTTTTTGTGACACTTGTTCCTGGTTTCATTCTGGTTTCACTGAATTTAGAAAAACTCCCACGGATTTTGGTGGAGGAGTTGAGGTATTAAGAGCAGGCAAGAAGACTTTAAATGAATTCAGATAGTGTAGTTAAATAGAAAATACTCAAATAACAAAATTATTTTACCCAATATTTTAGTATTTTTTTTTTAATTAGATGTCCAGCTGCTTTTTCACCTTCTGAGCTCATTTTTGGTTTTTTTTTTAAGTACAAGAACAATTTTATAGGTATCTGTACTTCTGTAAATTTAAACATCAGCGTCCCAGACAGCACCTTTATCAATAATTGGTATAAAATTATTGATATAAATATGTATATATTTACATACATTATAATATTGGTATAAATATTGGTATGATTGGTATAAAATGTGACTAAAATACTGTTCTTAATCCAGGAGAAACAGAGAACATGGATGGTACAGTGGTCTCAGATGACCTTTCACCTCTCTCTTCGGGAACGGATTCAGGTTCACAGTCTCCATGGTCGCCAGAGAACAGAAAGAGTCCAAAAGGGATCAAGAAAATCTGGGGAAAGTAAGGTCATTTTTTTTTATTTTATTCACTGTCAAAGCATTTCAGCTGAGAATGAAGCCACTTCCCAGCAAAATCTCCAATTATCTGTAGCAAGAATTACCTAAAATCTGGGGAGAGAAAGCAGCTCTGGGATGGCACGGGTGTGTCCCTGTGTACACAGGGGATGGAAAAATTGTTGGGAGCTTTCACAGCGTCATCCTGGTGAAAGAAATAAGGCACTGCTGTCACCTTAATGCTATTAATTTAGCATGCCAGCAGTTTTATTAGCCATGAAAAATTAAATTGTAGCAAGCTGATCATTGCAAAAGACACCAGGTGAAAAAACGAGGGAAAACAGACGGAACAGAAAGCAGGGCAGAGTTGCACTGTGTCCACTCCATCTGCTTCAGCAGCAGCAGCCATTCCCAAGTCTGCATTATTAATTGGATCAAAGAGTTATGGCTGCTCTGCAGAGCTTTTCTTTTCCCTCCAGAGTTAGGTCCAGGCTGAATTTCCTAGAACTCCTTCAGCTGCCTCTGGAATTTGGCATTTGCGGTTCCCAGGGAGATGAACGGAGCTGTTAGTTGTCGCTGTAGTTTCCATGCAGAGCAAACCCCCTCTGTCACCAGCTAACAGTCCTGTCGTGGCACTCTTGTCTTGCAAGAATACGAAGAACTCAGTCAGGTAACTTCCCTGCAGACGACCTGGGCCTGGCAGAGTTTCGGAGGGGAGGTCTCCGCGCCACGGCTGGTCCTCGCTTATCCCGATCCAAGGACACCAAAGGCCAGAAGAGGTAACGGCTCCTCCTGTCCCTGGCACAGCCTGCTGCTGCCAGCTGTGCCCCACAGCCAAACCCTCCTCTTGGGGAGCTTGCCCAGCATCCCACCTGGAATTCCACAACAGCTGGAAAGAATTTCCCTGGTAGCAAAAGTCATCCCAAGGATCTCCCCTGCCTGCACTCCTCCAGCTGCAAGCTGCAGCAGCCTCAGAAATTTCACCTTGTTAAAGAGGGAGGAGAATAATTATCTCCTCATCTGCATAGCTATGAGGGTTCAGCAATTCCCTTTTCCCTCTTTTCAAACAGAAACCAGGAAATTCTTCAGGTTGTGAATTCACAGGTTGTGGCTGGGCTGCCAAATTCCCAGGAGACCCCAGCACAGGGCACACCGACAGATTTGCGGTGGTGCTGCCCCTGGCACACGAGGAGCTTCCCACTATGGACATTCATTCTTTCCTTTTAAGATTTTCCCAATTTCTTGTGCTTTCCAGCGACCACAATGCCCCGTTTGCTCAGTGGAGCACTGAGAGAGTTTGTAACTGGCTTGAGGACTTTGGCCTGGGCCAGTACGTGATTTTTGCCCGGCAGTGGGTGACATCAGGCCACACGCTGCTGACAGCCACACCTCAGGACATGGAAAAGGTAAATCACTGCTCCTCAATACCTGCTGATTCTGTCCAACCCCCTCCAAAACACTGGCTCTCCCTTTCTGGAACTCACAGTGCCAATTTTCTTAGTTACCTCACGTGAGGAAAGGAGCCAGAGGCAGGGCACACTCTTTGCTAATGGTTTTTTGTTGCAGGAAATGGGAATAAAGCACCCACTGCACAGGAAGAAATTGGTTTTGGCCGTTAAAGCCATAAATGCGAAACAAGATGAGAAGTCTGCACAACTTGATCATATCTGGGTGACACGTAAGTGTTTGGGCTCTCACAGAATTGTTTGGGAAGGAATTTCTCCCACATCCCTGAAAGAGTAGCCCAATTCACATTTAAGCAGTTACCAAACACCCTTTAAAAAGCACCAAGTTTCACCACAGGAGAGTTGAGGATTTTTTTGTTGCTGTTCTTGACATCCAAACACACAGCTGGTGGTGTGCTCTTTGTAACTTTTCTCTGGTTTCTCTCAGCCTCCTTTGGGCTGAATTCCCCAGGGATCCTCCCTTGTGGGGAGTCCCATTTATCTCAGTCTTTATGATTCAAAGAAAACTCTTGGGCTCATTAGATTCTGCTTTCTGGTGTTTATTGAAGGATCCTTACAGAAACCTGGCAGGTCTATCCAGGCTGGCTGCACAAGCCTAAATCACCACAGCCTGGCTCATTTCCTTCTGATGATACAAAATGGCCCCAAACCACGCAGTCTTTTCACCTTTATACCAATTTTTACCCCATTAACTACAGACAGGTGTATTGTTATTATATCTCAACAAATAGGTTTTCTGTATCTACTCACGTAATTAAAACTGCAACTCTAAACCAATCATTCTTTGTGCTTCTAAAAACTGCAGAAGCATGGAGAAGAAGGAAGCAGAAGGATTAAAAACTACACCCTTTTTCCTCCATCTTTACTCCATGTGTGAAACCCTCTTAAAATCTATATTTTCACCTCAGTGATAAATTAAACATTTCTCTACTTTCTATTTAATTTCTTACAAATTTTGGCTCGCTCGGGGATATTTGGAAGCCTTTCTGTCAATATTATATATGATTGATGTAATTTTTAAAGAATTGAATAGCATTCAATTTTTTAAAGAATTGAATAGACAGAGAAATGTCTCTGCATTTCTGGGCTCCTGCACTCTTCCATGGGGAACTCTGTCAGACAGCAGGGCACTGAATGTGTGGGCTCAGTCTGGGAAAGCTCCTTTATGCTGCAGAAGGTGTTGAAGGCTCCTTCATCATCCTTCATCCTGCAGCTCCATCACGTGCTGCCTGCCAAGTATCACAGGGCTGGCGTGCAAGAAGCTGGTGGGTGGGAATTGCTCCCAGGCTGCTGGCAAGAGGCTGTCCTCAGGAAAGGGGAAGAGGTAGAATGAGCCACCTGAACACCTCAAAAGAGGCCAGGCAAGAGGGGAAGAAGGGCTTCACTCTCTCTGATCTGGATTTGGTTCCCCATTGCTCTCACATCTGCAGGGTGGCTTGATGACATTGGCTTACCTCAGTATAAAGACCAGTTTCATGAATCCAGGGTAGATGGGAGGATGTTGCAGTACTTAACTGTGGTAAGTACAATCCTTTTTCCTCGGTTTTATCAATTTTAACTTCAGAATAAGCAAAAACTTTCAAAATTTTCCTTTGAGCGTGAGCAGTTAAAGAATTTTTGCAAGACAGAAATAGTGCCAGTAACAACTCCTCTGTGCATGGAATCCATAAAATAAGTCAGATGCTAGGGCTAACTTCTGCAAAGTCCTTCTTTAAATATCATGTAGCACACTGGGACTAAAAGTAAAATTTTTTTGTTTTATGTGGAACCTCTGGAGCTCTGCACACCAAGGTAGAAACAATATTCAGCAAAGTAAGAGCAGGAAATCCAGTGACTTGTACAGCTCTGTCCACATCCACAGAACACCACGAACCACACGCAGCCACCGTGTTTTCTTCCCATTCTCCTGCCCAAGTCTGGATAGTTAAGACCTGGATTTATCTTAACAGGCTACAATCCTGCCTTCATTTTTTAGCCAGGTCTTGCTATGATGCAATGTTAAAAAAACCCCCAATAAATCAATGACAGAACCCCCCCAAACCTCCACCCTAATAAAACCCAAACCCTCTTTAAAGGATAAACTTTCATCTTTCCTAAGCCACAGTTACTGTAGTGTTATATGAAACTACACAGCAAATATAAACTCTTTCAAAACTAAAATCTCTCTCTCCTTCACAGAATGACCTTCTCTTCCTGAAAGTCACCAGTCAGCTGCACCACCTGAGCATTAAATGTGCCATTCATGTGCTGCACGTCAACAGCTTCAACCCCAACTGTCTACGCAGGAGGCCTGTTGAGGAGGTAAAAGAATGTTGAAATAAATTAATTTAAGCAAGCACAAATCACCTGGTCCCAGCCAAAGGGGACAGAAAGTCAGCAGTGTTACAACAGAGTCATTGCTCCTAGGGACCTGCACCTAAAGCAGCAGTTACGCCACTAATTAAATCTCGTGCATTTCTCCTCAGAAGTTATTTGCATAGTGGGGATAAAAAGTTAATTCATCTTCCAAGAGAATAATTTGGAATGATTTGTCTTTGCCTGACCTCATATTTAAAATCTGTAAGGTTTTTTTGCCTCTACCTGACCAGCATAGTTTTGTCATTAACCCTGTTGTCAGGACATTCCCTTTTGTGCTGGTATTGTCTCGACATTATCAGTTAGGAAAAAAAAAGGTTAAGCAGGAGAAAGAAAAGTGTTCTGGAAATTTTATTCCAATGCTTCTTATTCTTGTAATCATGTTTATACCTTTTAAGTTTTAAACCTGTTTTGCCCTTCTCCTAATGCATATCTCACAGCAAAAAATAAATGTGTGCCCTGGTGATTTTAGCCAGCGCTAAAACCCAGCACGTTATTTAGTGCTTTAACCAAAAAACCCAAATTAGCAAAATGCATTGACATTTTTATCCCTGTAATCTCTGCTGCTGTTGCACTTCTTGGTGCAACACACTGGGCCAGGTCTGCCATCTCATCAGAGACTGCTTGAGAGGGGCCTTGAGGAGAAACAATCCCCCAGCCAGGGAGGAAGAGGAAGAGGAGGGAGGCTGTTTTGATCTGAACTGAGCCAGGAGTTGTGCACACTCTGACAGGGCAGGCAGTGGTGTCATCACCTGTTGTGGTCCCCCCACAGAACATCTCTCCTTCTGACGTGGTGCAGTGGTCCAACCACAGGGTGATGGAGTGGCTGCGGTCGGTGGATCTGGCGGAGTACGCGCCCAACCTTCGAGGCAGCGGAGTGCACGGGGGCCTGATCGTAAGGATTCACCTTTTCACCATGAAAAATTGACAGATAGAAACCATCTTTTATCTGATGTTCATCAAGCAGAAAGAAACAAGCACATCTGCAATATGGCAGCGTGGTCAGGCCTTTGAAGGAGCCTCTTTATCTGATCCGCACACCTTTATTCTGCAAAGGAAACCTAAAATAAGAAAGAAATAGCTAAAACACTTTCTGTAATCAAAGCTGAGCTGTGCACAAGTGTGTGACAGCAGCACTTAAAGGAAAACCTGAAATGTGCTGTGCAGAAGTTGCTTTTTGATAAGGCATCTCTGAGTGTTTCTTTGAGTGATTTACCAGAGATCTGAGCCACGCTAAATAACCACCCTGAAACCACAGCAGTCAGAAATTACATTTTTTTAACTCAAAACATTCAGAACTATTTGCAGCTCTGTAATGTCAGGGTTCTGAAATACCACGATTCTACTGCTGTGGAATTTTTGCAAAAATGCAGTGGTGGAAATTGGTGGTACTAAGATTAATTTCGTACTCTGAGTAGAGCAGAAAATTCTGAAGGGAAACTTGTTAAACCCAAACAAACATATGATACGGTGACAAATATAAACACATATTTGCCTGATGGCACTCAGCATTTTTCCTTGGCTCTTTTCAGGTATTTCCCATTCAAACCCCCGTATCACAAGTGAGCTATGAAAGGTCTAATGTGAGCAGGGACTTAGTGAGAAACCCTCTGCTAAGCACTGCAGTTAGTTTACTGTTGCAAATATTTATATAAAAAAGAAACATCCTGTCCTTTTTCCCAGATTCTCGAGCCTCGCTTCAACGGCGACACGCTGGCCATGCTCCTGAATATCCCTCCCCAAAAGACCCTCCTGCGCCGCCACCTCACCACTAATTTTAACGTGTTAATTGGGCCAGAGGCACAGCAAGAGAAGAGGGAAATCATGGAGTCAGCAGCATACACACCTCTGACCACCACTGCCAAAGTTCGGGTAGGTACTGCTGCCAAAAAGCAGAGGTGTCGGTGTCAGGCTCCTCCACTCTGAATTACAGAGAAAATAAGGGACAAACAGGGGCAGGGAGAGGTGAATTCTAGGAGTGCTGCATTTCCTTTAATTCTAGAGACAGCACCTTTCACTCTGTACCTGTTTCATCAGGTCCTGAGAACAAGCATGCAATCTGTTCTGCCTTTTCTTAGAAGGAACATGGTGCAAACACATTAACACCCACTGTAACCCCAGTTTGAGAAGAAATGCAGTTAATTCAGAATCCACGTACTTGAATGACCAGGGTATAGCCATAAGTGGAAAAGGGGAGGATTTTGAATGTTTAAAGAACAACCTTACTTGTCTTACTCAAAACTACTTGTGTTGACTCCTTATTTCAGCCAAAGAAACTTGGATTTTCGCATTTTGGAAACTTACGGAAAAAGAAGTTTGACGAATCAACAGACTACGTTTGTCCTATGGATACAAGCCCAGCTGCTGCCAATGGTACCTCGAAAAACTATGGTGGCTACAAAGGCCTCAGTCCTTTCACTGACAGGGAACTGGATCAGGTGGGACAGACAGACTGATGCCATGCTCATCTCATCCTCTCCATGCATTCCAAAGCTTGCAAATAACCAAATGTTCCCCTGTAACAAACTCTTTGCTACATCCGCATGAACTCACTGAGAAAAGCGTTGGCTGTGGACGCTGGAAACCAGAGTTCCAGACTAAGAATGTTGGGTTTATTTTTTTTTTATAATCAGCATCTCATAGTAAACTCATCCATCCTCAGGCCCTTTTTCAGGACTATGGCACCTTTACACTCCGAAGATGGAGGTATTTTGTCAGTCCAGGGCGTGGTTGCAGTAAACACAAGACTTTTGTACTTACAGCTTTCATAATTTTAGTACAGCACACGATTTTTTTTCATTATCTTTATGGGCGGTTTTAATATGTACTAAATTCATATGGACAAACTTGTACAAAGCTATCAAGTTATATTAAAGTACAACTGGATTGTATTTTTTAACAGTAATCAGAGAATCCAACTGAATTTTTCTTTCATGGTGTACAGTGGGGAGTAGTTCTGCTTAGACAATATATGTGAAGAAAATGCATCAGCAATGAACAAATTATTAATAAACTGAGAGTTAATTCACTTTTGTAATGTAGTAGTGAACTTGTGAATGAAACTGTCTAGATGGCATCCAGAGAAATGCTGAAGACTAAAAACTATCAAATTTTATTTTGACTTTGCTGTTGTGTGTAAAGGGATGTAAACCCTGAAAAACGGAGCGCTCCTGGAGCCTTGTGTGAGCTTTGGCAACACACAAGAGCCACACAGAGGCAGCTGGAGTAAACTGGCCTTTCTCCAGCGACATAAAAACAGTTTAAGACTGATAAGAGAATGGTCACAACATTGAAAAGACTAACTGTGAAGGTAATTTTTTTCACTTGCATGGTTTAGAGCATCTAACATCTCATTTGTGTCCATTGGCTAACCTTGGTCTTTTGCAATGTACTGCTCCTCAACAGGGAGAGTACCAAACCCTGACTGTGAGTGTGGATGTCCACTTGCTCAGCTAAGGGTTGTGAGGGAATGCATTAACTTTCAGCCAAGAACTGTGCAGTTGTTGAAGCATGACAGAAAGACTGGGTTTTTCTCTAGGAGCATGGTCTGTCTATTAAGCATGACTTCTGAGCATGTGGCCCATTGCAGGAAATCACAGTGCCCTAGATTGTGACATTTCTGTATAAAAAGAGGTAGGACTGTATCAAAGACTTCTTGCCTGTGAAACAATCCCACCAGAAATGTAAGTGGTTTCAGGCCATTTGGAAAACCCTACTTTTCATTGAAAATATCAGTTAATCTCTCCCTTTTTTTACTGTGGAGACCAAGTCTCACAGAATTATTGTCTCTTAATCAGGGTCTACTCTTCCTATCTGTCATTAAATGCATTTTCACATACCTTGTAGCACGGAGGCATTTTTGTTAAGGAGCTGCTAAACTTACCCCAGCTTCATTTGTCCAGGCACAGATCCCTCCCAAAGCTGCATGTAGAGTGAATAAAATTGCACATGCTGTCTGATTTGAACTAGTTGCTGACTGCTTTTACAGATGGAACACTCAGAAGGCACAGTAATGCAAATAGGGGCTCTTTCCCAAGGCATAACCCACCTCACGGTACGTACTCATTCCTCTCTGCTTCCAAAGTCACCCGTGTGTTCTGCCAAAATTCACTGGAATTGGTCATTGCTGGTGGTGATGAAGAGTAAGAGGGTCTCTGCTCTTGTTAAGCATCTCTTTATAGCTTGGTGGGACGTGCAGTCAAAAAAAAACCACTGCTTTTAAATTGCTATAGAAATTAAGCTTCATCTAGGCCCAAGTTTTCATGAACTCTGTGGTCTCTTTGACAAAATGACAGCTATTTACCCCCTTAAATAAAAACAATTCTTCAAAGATTTTGCAGGTAACCACCAGCTCAGTCACAGCATTCACAGCAGGCTAGGAATGAGGTACAGACTTTTGAAAATTTACATGAGCTGAAACTCTGTGGCAAACATAAAACAAAACACCTGACTTTTGCTTCTTCGTTCCACTGAAGCTAATTTATTAAACAATAAGTGTCTGGAAGACATAATGAAGAATTATAAAATATAGCTGAGTTGCATGCCAGACACAAAATCTCTAAGAATTTCCTCAAGCAAAAAAAGCTTATTTAAAGCTGGAGAAATACCCTTTGACTGTGTGTGGCTTTCACCCCCTGTGTTGTGAGGCTGGGTCTCTGGGAGCACAGGCCCCTCACCAAACACCCTCAGTCCTTCCCAAACTGCTCTTTCAGACGCTGCTGAGCCAGGATGAGATGCTGAATGACAGCAGGTTTCTAACACCGACCTTTGAAGACTGGAGATGATGTCCCAGCAGGACGGAGAGCGCTACCCGAACCTCGCGCCTGCAGGAGCGGCCAGGAGCAGCTGGGGGCCGTGCAGCAGGAGAGCTTTCCCTCTTTTCTGCCTCTGCCACCTCCCATGTAGCATTTCCTCACCTCAGGGCAGCCCCACCTTGCAGGTAACTCTCCTCTGTGCTGTTTTCCCACCTCATGTAATGGCAAACAGGGGCTGGGAGAGGAGTGGGACTCTTATCCAGAGTCTGGAAAGCCAAGACTGGCAATGTTTTGTCCTTTTATTCACTTGTCTGTTACGTGCTGTGTCGATGTACTGTTACACGAAAAACCTTCTGTCATTTTTTATTTTTATAATTAACTTGGAGTGCAGGAATCATTAATACATAATTGTACCATGGGGGCAGATCAGAGGTACCTGGAATTCAGCTGGGTGCTGGTGAGAGCAGCAGCAATGGCTCACTCACCACTCCTGTGGCCTTGCCAGACTGGTCCCCAGAAAGGATTTCAATCTCTTCCCCCCTTTCACTGTCCTGCTCTCTTTTTATCCAAGCCAGGGCACTGTAGGGTGGGAAGAATGGAACATAATACTGTCCATCAAGCCCTTGCTTTTATTAGGATAACAAGCTACCACGTTCACAAATCCTTACCTAAGGCAAGAACAACTGCAGCAGGAAATTGTAACCAGGAAAGTACCAGAATAAAAGATGTACTTCTGTAAAACACCTGACAAAATAAATCTGCTGCTGTTGTACTGGGCTAGACAGGACTGCATCAGAGAGAAGTATTGAGGGGCTGAGGTTGAAGCTGCAGTTACTTGTGATATCTGTTTACATGTACATCTCCTGTACTAATGAGCTATTAAAAAGCTCTCTCAGTAAACAGATAAATGCCAGAAAAAAAGTCTCCTTAATTGTAAGGAAAAGTACTTTGTACAGGGCTGGTTTGCATTACTCTCTCCTTGCTGGCTGCAAGTGTTCTTTAGATTCTAATATAGCCTCAGGGCAGGTCACTGCCAGCCACAACCCTCCCAAATTAAGAGGGAAATTCCAGGGCTGGCCACAGGATGCAGCAAGGGCTCTTTGAGAACTACCTGGGGTGTTTTTAACAGGTGATCTATCCTGGTCCTCACTTCACCAGTGTCTCCTGACAGACCTTGCATTGTATGGTCAGGTGTAAGAAGATAAACACATGACTTGAATGTCCACAGTGGTAAAATCAAGACAAGCTCTTTTCAGTCACTGCAAAGTGCAAAAAAGGAAAATTCAGAAGGATGAGAAATGAGTCTATGCATGAGCAAACCACTAATGTTTAATGTTTGATCAAAGCTGTTAAATGTTCCAGTCTGGCAATGCAGTCAGTGCTAGCGACCAGCTCAGGTACCACAGGCATTTGGAATACTCTGTTAGGTCAATTAGCCAACAGACTTAGTACAGCACTGCAAATGGGATTGCTGCTCCAGCAGCCCTGAGATATCCCAAACACACTATTTCCTATTTCTTTCAATGCTGTATTTACAACTCAGTGCGTTGTTGTGGATAGCCAATCCACAAAACAACTGATTCTTCTTTTAAATATACGTAGTAAGAAATCCTAATTAGCATAACACTGGTATAAATGCTTATTTTTTGACTGTTATGAATAAATTGTGAATGTTCCCCTCTCTTGCTGACCATGGAATGATTTAACACAAATTCATGTGGATGATCTCTCATCTTAATTTTTTTTTTCCCCTCAGAAATGTTTTATAGTAATTTCAGAGGTTAGACTAAGTAACTCCCACACAATCCAAGAGGACTTCTCAACTTTCTTAGTATTAAAACACACAAGGTAATTATGAAGTTATAAACCACAGAAACTACATCAAGGGGTTAAAACACACACACACACACAAATGCTGCACAGCTGCACATCATCTGTTCCTGTAGAAAAATATGCAGTACTTCCAAAAAAGGTATCAGGTGCCATCAATGTTAATAAGCAAATGTACTGCTCTTGGGATAGCCAAGCTTGTCCAGGTTGGGCTGACAGGCAAACTGAATCATTGGTGGTGGCCCACACATGAGAATGAGGGTCTCGCTGCCAGGGGGAGGCAGGTGGGCTTCCAGCATCTCTGCAGTGACAAAGCCAGAGCTGTACTTCCAGTCTGCAACAAAGAAATTCATTCAATTACTTGGAATCTCTCTACAGGCTGAAGCCTTTTAAACCACATTAAAATAGCTGAAGAATCAAGTTATGGCACCATCACTGCAAGCCAGGAGAGGGTGAAATTCCTCACTCAGCTCAAACCTAGTGATCCCCTTCCACAGGGACAAGCATGTAGATAACAAGGATCTGGCTGGTAAGACATGGAGGTCTTAAAACAATAAATTATAAAATGTAAAAGAAATGAGCAGGTAGGAATAAAAAGGAAGAGTGAATCAGCTTCTCCAATGAAGAAGGGTCACCCAGTGGCAGGGAGAGGTATTGAGACTTGTACTCTGTTTTTTTGAGATGGGAGTGGTGAGGTGACAGAGTTTGGTGAAAACAAAAGCTCTGCCATGTAGTTTAGTGATAAGAGAGAACAAGCTAAAAGAGGAAAGAAATGCTAAACTATTTCAAGCAGTAGAATTATTGAATGCATCTGCCACTTGAAGTCAGAAAAACGATGCCTTAATCCATACACATGGCAGCTGTTGCACCAGAATTTTATCTGGAGCTGCTGCAAAACAAAGAAGTGCATGTAACATTTACAGGTATTAAACAATTATATTAAACAATTTAATGCCAACAACATGTTAATATAACCTGATTTGGGAGATAGCCCAAAATAGAGCTGAACTTTTGATGAAAACTCCCAAAAACTGAAATACATGAGAAGATGCACTGAGTGACATGTCTGACCCAAATGAGGTAAATTATGAGCTCCCACTTTTTAAGGCTCGCCTGGCTTAATCCCTCTTTAAAGCAGGGTGTGGGGTAAGATTTGTTTCTGAGGAGTTTAAAAGTGTAAGACAAGAACACCTGACATTGCTCTGATGTCCCCTTGAGCAAGAGTGAAGCTCTGACTGTTTGCACAGGGATGAGCAGAGGCATTTCCATGTGTCCCTACCTTTTGGAGGTCTGTCCAGTGTGTACCACAGCACAAACTGCTCAGGGTGCCTCTTGGCAATGTCTTCTAGCTCAGCTCTCAGCAATATATCATTTTCTGTCTGCAAAATGAGAGTGCTGTTTAGCTCCAAACCATCCCAGGCGCCCTCTGACGGGAGCTCATCTGCCATTCACAACAAATGCAACAATAAAAATTATGCAGATCAATAAAGTAATTTGGTATTTTGCCCCTTCCATGGTAGCTATCATCATTACAGGCTTCTGTAAATTGAGGTTAAGAACAACAAATTGTGAGACTTAGCAGTCATCTAAACACAGTCCTGAAGATGGCAATTAGAACAACTTTTTAATCCAGGCTAAAATCACGAGCTGGATTTGGCCCTGGCCCTGGCAAATGGCCCTGGACTAGCATGGTGAAGGTTAACTGTAGAGATTAGTGGAAATAAATCTTGTTCCCTTGAAATCAGTGAAGGACTAAGATAAGCAGAGGGATCAGGAGCTGGTCACAGTGTTTATTCCCTAATGTAGGAATGCAGTGCAACTATGAGGAGATACCCAAGTGTGAAAGAGTCTGAAACACGTGCCATCAGTTTAAAAAGCTCAGAGGCCCAAAAACAAGTGGGCTGTTAAAGAAGAACAAACAGATGGGTCAGAGTCCTCACCTGATTAGCAAAAAGGAGGTAACATTTTGTGGAGTCCTTGGGGTCGCTTGTGATCTGACGGATCAGCTGCAACATAGGAGTTATTCCTGTTAAAAACCAGAATGGTTATAAAGTGGGTGTTCCTTTCCATGGCTCCAGCTTCAGTATTAGTGCTGCCTCCCCTCAGTCTTCAATGGGATCTCAGTTTGCACTGGGCTACACATCTCTGGATTTCTAATCCACATGGAGTGCAGAGACTGGGGGGGTTTCTGTTATGACAAACAGTTCCAAAACAAAAACAACAATTCTTGTATGCAGGGTTTTTCTCTTCAGGATTCACTAGTACATCATTTTACCCTCGAGACATTCTCTTAAAATACTTTTTGTCACTGATGGAGTTCTCTGAGGTCACAAGGTAAATCAGTATTCAAACCCTCAGGTTGCTACTCCCCAGAACTGAGCTCAAACCACTGTAATACCTCAGTGTTACCACCATGAAAATAAATTAATGGAAAGAAATGCAGCTGTAAGTACTCTGCTGCCGAAGTACAGTGATAGTCCTCACAAATACCCACAAAGACATTTTCACTCTCTAGACACTCCATATGATGGGGTTAGTTTTACCTGTTCCTCCAGCTATCATCCCAAGGTGCTTTGCAAACTTTTTCTCTGCCTCAGACTTCTTATTAGGCTTGATCAGAAAGGTACCTAGAAGAAATATTCCAAACCTATAGGTACATTATCTTCCAAACAAACATGGATACACATTCCTTGGGAAGAAATCACTATAGATGATCAATTAATAAAGACAAATCTTCTGGAAATCCCTCCCTTCTGCTGAGAGAGGTTCATCAGGAGATTGCTGATCACAGGAGGTCAGCATCCAGAGAAATGCTGAGCACTCTGAGGTGAGACTCAAGTGCACAGCTCCTCTCAGTCGAGATCAGTGCAAAATCTTTCACTCGCATCCTACAAGAGGATTACTTCCCTGAGCTTATTTTCTCACTGTCAACTCAGGCCTGGTTTGATTATGAAATGGAGCTGGCTGTCAGTCAGCTGCTTTTTCAGTAACAGCACTGAGATTCTCAGAGGGCATTTGAAGTCACAATCTGACTTGCTTAGGAAGCATCTAGAGCATCTCCTTCCATATGTATAGCTGAGGTATTTTATTTCCAGTGCACACTTCTTAGTCATGTAATGCAATAGCAATTTTTTCAGATTTACAGGCCCAGGAGTGAGACACTCATCAGTTATTCCTTACACGGAGTACTCTTTCCCATCATATCAACTCTGACAGGCTCACAGTCAAGTCTAGAAAAGGTGGCTTTTCTTCTTTTCCACTTTAAAAAAAAAAAAAAAAGAGATTCTCTACAGTTGTCAAGTTTTATAAAACACTTCTGAAAATAACTAATACCTCCCTTTTGCTCTCCCACCTTTGTGTCACAGTACCTGTCCCCTTATAGACCAGGAGTCCATTTGGCCCTCTGAAATCAATGGTATCTCCAATCTTCATGTTATCCAGATACTGGGACATCTTCCCACCTTCTGGAAACTTGGGGTTCACATTTTTGTGGTAGACCTGTAAGAACAATCATTTGCACTTTATCAACCACTAACTTTCCTGCAGACATTATCACAAACTGTAGAACACAATCCTGCAGGCCTGAAATTTGGCACCTGAGAAAGAAATCAAGAGAATTCTTTGCTCTCAGTTATCTCTTGAGCAGGAAGCAGCCAAAATAAGTCAAATGTGCTGTTGGGCACGTGTCCCTCAGCTCCCTGCAAACAGCCAGGATAACAGGGATGGGTGGCAGGCAGATTATGTGCTGCTGCCCTCATTTCACTCTTGCCTCAGGTCACCCCATTTTTGTAGCTGCTCCTTCTGGAAACAGCACTGCTGCATCTTTTCCTTCTAAAACTTTCCCACACAGACTCACAACAGCTTTCTAAGAAAGAAGCATTAGTAGTTCATAGTAGTTAATAAAAGTAAGAAGCATCAAGCAGTTCATAACCATTCACCACCCATGTGACATGAAGAACAGAGCATAAAAAACAAAAAGCGCCTGGATTTTTGCCTAGGGATAAATTCTATCATAGAAAAGGATTAGGAAATCCAGAAGTCCTGGGATCAGATAATCCTGCATCCCTTGGCTTATAGGATTTCCCTTGTTT